TTTTCTTTTCTTTTTCTTAAATCATCGCGAACTTTCAAAGCCACCCCGATACTTTGAATTAATTCGTTTTCCCTTAATGGTATATTCAAAATCGGAAGTAACGAGGCACGATCGTAGTTGACGCCCTTCTCCTCTCCTCCCCCCCGTTCATCGTCTACGATCTCGAAAAAAAAAATAAAAATTAAATAAAATGAAATATAAAAAATAATATAAGCAACCTGTTGCCACACGAAAAATGAAGAAGTGTTCGATGATATCAAAACACAAATATTATTCTTTTTGTGTCGCGCTAATTAAATTAATTAAATTTCTCTTATTCTCTCCCCGTTTTTATTTTTTTCTTCCTCTTCTATTCTTCCACATTCTTCATCCCCCTCCCCTTCCCCCTCGCCCTCACCCTCACCACGCCATCCCTTTTTTCTTCAGGTTTCATTTTTACCATGAAACACCATAATAATAATAATATTCTACAATATTTTACGAAACGTTTGCTTGCACATCGTTGCTCTTTTTATTTTCTTCTTTCTTTTCCACTTGATAATGTTTATACAAAGTTTCCATTGTTATAGCGGTCACACTTAAAATCTATGATATACTGCATTTTCATTGAATATAATACCGAGCACTATTTCAAAAAACTATTGCAAAGGCATCAAGGAACAACCATCCCTCCCATTCTAAAACAATTTCTACGACCCGTTACACGTTCTGTCACAATATTATTAAGCGACCTCGATGATTCCATTTTTATGGTGTTCGTATAATAAAACAGTTTATTCGTTCATTTGTTCGTGTTATAGTTCGTCCGTTCGAGAAATCGTAAATCCTTTAAAGGAACTTGCATCGTTCATTTCTATTTTTTCTTTTATGTTTTATACACATTTTTACGAAACAACAATAAATGCTTTAGGTACTTGGTAGTTTTTTTTAATAATAACTCCGATCAAGGGATGATAAACCTCCGAAAAGCGTGAGGGACTATTTATTATCATTATTATTATTATTTTTATTATTATTATTATTATTATTATTATCATTATTATTATTATTAATAGAAGAAAGAAAAAAAAGGAGAAGAAGAGAAGAAGAAAAAGAAATAAAAATGAACGCTTTTTTGAAACATACTTCAAATTGTGTCGTCTATTACGTTCAAGGGCGTTCTTTATAAGAAAAAAAAAATAATATTTAAAAAAATAATAATAAATGACGAGAGATAGAGAGAGAGAAAGATAATCACGTCCAGGACGTTCTCCTTTCTCTTCTAAATGTGACAATAATTATGACAGTGGAATATTAAAAATTATTATTTGCACAATATAAGTAATAATATAATATATAATAAATTATGGAAAAATAAATTATATAAAATCAATTGTTTCTTAAGTGTTTTGACTTGGCCCACTGTCACAATTACTCTAGCATAAATAATTAAAAATATAATAAATATTACATTATTCCTATAAATATATAATAACACTAGAACTATCAACAATAAATTTATACCTAAATCGAATGACAAATTAAACTAAATTTAAATATAACATAAACGTAATGTAAATCTAAAGAAAAAAGGCGGGGTGAAATCTTAGAAAAGAGAAGATCCACATATATAAATAAAAAATTATTTAAATATTAATAAAATAAAAAAAAAAAAGACCAATCACTATGAAATTCGATTGATAGTTCTAGTGTTAAAAATCTCCCAACGTGTGAGCGAGAAAATCGCAAACGTAAAACAATAATAATGAATCAAATGTACAACATGCATGCATTTGTTCGCGTTCATCTCATTTAATCTCTCATTAGGGTTGTGTCGAGTATCATGCGTGATGTTTTAATACTCGTGTGTGCGATAAGAAAAGCGAGAGCTCGAATTAATTTACAAAAGACGATTATAATTGAAGAAGAAACAAAAAAAATAAGGAACATACATATGCTATGGATTTATGTTATGTATGTAGTACGTATGTATATTGGTGTATGTATTTATAATATATGCATAAAGAAGATAAAGACCTTCCTTTGTAATTTCAGCAGCGTGCGTTTCTCTCTATTTCTTTCTTTCTTTATTTATTTCACATTCTCTCGCTCTCACTAAATACGTCTTTCGCGTTAAACTCGCTTATTATAATTATGTGCGATAAACGTGCATTCTCTTTTTGCTTTTTTTTTTTTTTTTTTTTTTTTTCTAATCTTTCTCTCTTATTCGCGTCATCCTATCTCTACGTTGGCCGTAAAGAAAGTGAAAAATAAATATATTATTATTATTATTATTATTATTATA